TGGCATCTTTTGTTCTCTAACATGTACAAGAAAAGGCCATCCCTAACGCACCCAATCCGTGTTCTTCTCAGTCAGGAAGGTTGCCCACCCCATCTCTGGTCCTGGGGACATCTCAGGCACACTCCTGACCCACACCAACCGACGGTGCCAACGAGGCTCCCCTTTCCTTAGGCTTGAGTTTTTCCAGTGCTGTGCAAAATTCATCTCTTACTCTTTTCCTCATAAAGTATTGGTTATTAAGTGCATTAATGTTATCATTTTTTAAGTGTGATAATTATAAAAGATTTTATGCAATATGTTTAACCGCAAGAAACATTCACCTCATCTGTCCTCTTCAGCACTGACATGCATCATGCATACCTTGGGGATTTAGCTTTTGGGTTTTAATTTAGGCATAATAGTTGTATGTGAACAAGTACAATGATTTAGGGCAGTAAAAATCACCAAATAACTCTGTATAGAATATCATAATTATTCTCATTAGAAGTACATCCGAAAATGGGAGTTCTCTGTCAATTAACCAAATATGCTAATTTTTCTACAGACAGATGCTTGACAAATTCTATAGGCATGGGGAAAACATTGCTCCGCAAGCATTTAGAGTAGAAGGGTTTAGCTGCAGTTAAAAAAACTGACAGCAGGAAAATAAGAGACAAACATTCAACTTTCTAGCAAAATAGGATATATTTTGATCTTACAGAATAGATGAGAGAAAACTTGCAGTATTTTTCAGTTATGGAAGCAATCTGCCATATAAATAAACACATGTACATATATATGTTTGCACTCATACATATAAGTATTTTATTTTTGCAGTGCATAATAACTTTATTTACTGCTTTATTATTTTACATGTACACACAAGTATATCAGTTTGCAATAAACCATTTCCTAGGTTTCCCGAGTACATGAAAATAAAAACTGTCATTTGGACTACACTGCAGCATAAAGAACAGTTCTACTTATGTGGCTTCCTTATATTCTATCCTAAGAACACACTTGGACTATCAAATGGTGCACTAGAGCCTGTTTGAACTTGACATTGACAACAGTAACATTAGTTGCCCATTATAATTCAAACTACACGGAAACTGCAACAATATGGTATTACATAAGAGCAGAGAGAGGCTGAATTCCATTACCTAGCCAGTATTAGCAGTGATGGGTTTTTGTCTGTGTTGTTTACCGTTACATCTGGATTACACTTCTCTGAGCTATGAAATCTTTCAGGTTCAAATTGAGAGGCATCTTCCCCGTACAAACAAGTATGGAAAAGAAGTCATTTATTCGACGGCATTTGTACGAGCTTCCCAGGGCTGCTATCACTGAATATCACTAACTGGGCAGCTTAAAACAACAGAACTTATTCTCTCACAGTTCTGGAGGCTGGAAGTCCAAAATCATGGTGTCGGCAGGTCCATGCTCCTCCCTCTGGAGCTTTAGAGAAGACTCCTTCCCTGCCTCCTCCTAGCCTCTGGCAGTTGATAGCAATACAAACATTTCTTGGTTTGTAGCCATAGCGTTCCAATTTCTGCTTCCATTTCTACATCTTCCATTTCCACATGGCCTTCTTCTCTTGGTTTCTTCTGTCTCTGTGTGTCTCCAAATCTCATTCTCTTTAGAAGGCCTGATGTGGGGCGCCTGGGTGGCTCAGATGGTTGAGTGTCTGCCTTCGGCTCAGGTCATGATCCCAGGGTCCTGGGATCGAGTCCCGCATCGGGCTCCCTGCTCCTTGGGAGCCTGCTTCTCCCTCTGCCTCTCTCTCTCTCTCTGTCTCTCATGAATAGATAAATAAAATCTTTAAAAAAAAAAAGAAGGCCTGATGTGAAGTTCACCGGCCCTAGGCCAGTATGACCTAATCCCATGTGACCTTAACTTGATCATACTGCAGAGACCATATGTCCAAATACAGCCACATTCATAGGCAAGAACTTGAATACATCCTTTTGGGGGACACACACAACTCAACCCACAATAGCACTCCAGTGGTAAAATTAAATTAATATACCTTCAAAAAATGTTCATTTTTCTTCCTCCCTCCTGGTAGACTCATTACGTTCAATAGTATCTTTTCCTGGTCTCCTTCTCCCACCACGGGAATAACGGGGCCTCCTTATTTTTACAGTTAACCATGGCATTTACCTCACAGATGGAGAACAGCAGCTGGATGAGCTTGATTCTTTGTTTCCTGTTTGTCTGTTCTTTGGATCTAAGTTTTCTAGATTCCACAGGGAAGAGGTCACTCTATCTGTGTTTCTGGGATGCTTTGACCTTTATTTGTTGATTTGGTTTATTTATACATGACCTCCTGACTTAACTAAACACTCTTCCATAGCCTGATTTAAATATACGACAAGGAGGGGAACCTGGGTGGCTCAGTCAGTTAAGCAACTGCCTTTGGCTCGGGTCATGATCACAGGGTCCTGGGATCGAGTCCCGCATCAGGCTCCCTGATGAGCAGGGAGCCCGCTTGAGCAGGAAGCCCGCTTCTCTCTCTCCCTGTCTCCCATTCATGCTCTCTCTAGCTCTCTCTCTCTCAAATAAATAAAACCTTTAAAAATAAATAAACTACAAGAAATGTTGATAGTAGAAATAATATATAGCCTTTAATAAATCACTCAAAATCTGACATTCCTTTGTAAACACTTGATGTAATTAAGAGGAAAGAAAAAAGAAAAACTAAATAAAAAAGAAAAATGTAATCAAGTAGGTTGACAACCAACAAAAGATAATTAAAATGATCCTGTTTTGTTTCTCCATTTCATTAACATGCAAATGAGATTCATGAAGTTTGATATTGTGGTTCACCAAGAGCCATAGAAACGAATTAAGAATGAAAATGAGTCTCACTGATGGAGACTTCTGATGAGTCTCTAAATGAATGTAAAATATGATTCAATCCAATTAATAAGATATATATTTTGTGTGATTTATTGCATCTTAACAAATGAAATGAATAGTTGAATTAAATTTTGTATCCTTCCATGGGCCAAATCTTAGGAAAGCTCTTACTACTCAAATAGAGCCGTGGTATATGTAAAACCCTGCCCTACTTTGAAAAGGAATGTAGTAAGATGGAGACCTCACTGTAAGATCAGTGTTGTGATGTCAGCATTCTTGCTGGGAGAACCATGCGGGCAAGAGCTGGACTGGTCTCCAGAGGGGTTAGGAGAGCTCACTTGCCTATGGTCAATCAAGAATTCAGAACTGCAAATAGGAAGAGAGAGTCCAGTGTGACCATTAACCCTCACTACAAGGCAAATAAAAGTCAGACAAGCTGTGTCTACACAAATGCATTCAAGGCTCCTCCAATTCCCTATTTGATACAAGGATCTCCGTGCTTGCTCCCCTGATGCCTTCACACCCACAAACACACATAAGTGATTGTCTCAAATAAGAGGAGCTATCATTTTAAAATAAACTTAAATTTTAAGTTATGCTAAAGTGTTAGATATTTATCATGTGTACCAGATGGCAAAATACAGACAGACACACACATGTATGATCTACTTGTTACGTCCAATGTTCATCGTGCTCAGGCATTACAACAGTACCGAGGATAACATCAAGGAGAAAAATGAAAAGAAGTGGCTGACATATGGCATGCGAGAAGGGGATAATAAATGAGCAAATCACGGTTTCAATAATATATCATGTCGGTGTCTATTTTTTCATGGTTGCTAAAAATGTTTTCTGTGTTAGGATTGCCAAGCCTCTTTCCATAGAATGTAAGTGCAGATGGCTTTTGCCTTAGCGTATTATGGAAAGGGGCCACGATGATGCTGTCTGTAAGTGCACAGAGTTTTGAAATTCTCTCTTACTTCAATAGCAAGTTGCCTTTTAATTATCTGCACTTTCCTTTAAACATATTCAAGCAATCAAATACAACCTACCTAAGAGATTGTCAACAATACGAACTGAGTATTCCTAAAGGAGCATGAAACTTATTAAGTTCCCTTTCCTCCACAGGAGAGAAAATCATGTCACCTACATTGAGAATTAAACAAACTGAGGGATTCTTATTTTTAAATAACTAGCATCTTGAGTGAAATAAGTCAAACAGAGAAAGACATGTATCATATGACCTCACTGATATGAGGAATTCTTAATCTCAGGAAACAAACTGAGGGTTTCTGGAGTGGGGGGTGGGGTGGGAAGGATAGGCTGACTGGGTGATAGACACTGGGGAGGGTATGTGCTCTGGTAAGCGCTGTGAATTGTGCAAGACTGTTGAATCTCAGATCTGTACCTCTAAAACAAATAATGCAATATATGTTAAGGAAAAAAAAAAAGAAGAAGAAGATAGCAGGAGGGGAAGAATGAAGGGGGGTAATCGGAGGGGTGGACGAACCATGAGAGACGATGGACTCTGAAAAACAAACTGAGGGTTCTAGAGGGGAGGGGGGTGGGAGGATGGGTTAGCCTGGTGATGGGTATTGAGGAGGGCACGTTCTGCATGGAGCACTGGGTGTTATGCACAAACAATGAATCATGGAACACTACATCAAAAACTAATGATGTAACGTATGGGGATTAACATAACAATAAAAAAATTAAGAAAAAACAAAAACAAAGAAAAATGTCATAAAATAAATAAATAAATAAATAAATAGCATCTTTGAAAATTACTTCTTCTTGCAAGCTTCCTATTTAACTTGAAATAGAGAGTCAATTAAATTTTCATGGCTACTGTATACATCATGATTGTATATTGTTGTAGAAAGGTTTATTTTATAAGAGATACATAAAGCTCACCATACTGAAGGAATTCAGTTCCTTGGGTGCTGAAATGATGATACAGGATTTTAAAATAGGATGTGACCCTTTGCCATTCCAGAACCAGGCCTACAAGTCTTATACTTCCCATGAGTTCCAGCCATTTGCTGATTGAGACATGTACTTCCTTTCACAATATATCACTTATAATGATTTTATTACAAGAGAATGGAAAATTAATGAGATTCATCATGAGCCAATCAGAAGGAAAAAAGCAGACTTACCATCTCTTCGATTTAGCCTTGCAAATCCGGCACCATGACTGCTAGAAAGTTCAGATGAACTGCTGAATGATGCCTGAGACAAGGAAGACACCAGAGGCTCATCACAATCATCTGCCGAAAGGGAAAATCCACATTCAGGTTAGTACAGTGCTGACAGCTTTCTTGGAACCAACAGGTCAAATAAACAAACAAAACAAAAAATACCAGGATCTCTAACAATATGCCCACTGCTTATATGTGATTTTCTATTAGAGGTCTAATAAGTTCAGTAAGAAAAGGAAAAGAATTTAAAGACAAGAGAATATGAAAATAGGGAAGAAAATTTTCACAGAAATTATAAAATAATATAATATCTTGAGGTAGAAAAAAGGTTTCCCTAAGCAAGAAACAAAAATATGTAATCAGTATACTGAATTTATAAATAAATGTATATAAAGAAGGGTTTATAAATTAAACTATATTAAAATTAAGAAATTATGCTTCCCAAAAGACACGTAAAGAGAAACATCACCTGTGGAAAGTATGTGCAAAACAGCATATGATTAGTATTCCAAATTAAGGAAACTAAAATAAAATAAAGAAAAACAGGGGTGCCTGGGTGGCTCAGTTGGTTGAGCGTCCAAGTCTTGGTTTCAGCTCAGGTCATGATCTCATGGCTCGTGAGATCAAGCCCAGGGTCAGGCTCCACACTCAGGGGGGACTATGCTTGAAGATTCTTTCCCTCTGCCCCACCCCCAACTCACACGCACTCACTTTCTCCTCTAAAATAAATAAATCTTTTTTTAAAAATAAACGAAAATAAAAACTACCTTTATTTTTTTTTTAAGATTTTTTATTTATTTTTTGACAGAGAGAGACACAGCGAGAGAGGGAACACAAGCAGGGGGAGTGGGAGAGGGAGAAGCAGGCTTCCCACTGAGCAGGGAGCCCGATGCAGGGCTTCATTCCAGGACCCTCGGATCATGACCTGAGCCGAAGGCAGACACTTAATGACTGAGCTATCCAGGTGCCCCTAAAGACTACCTTTAAATCAGTTAGAAAACACACTTGGAAAAATAGCATAAGGGAGGACCAGAGAGCTCACAGAACAGAACCTATACAAACTGATGCTCTAACTCATCAGTAAAAAGAAGTGTAAATCAAGACTACAATTGGATACTATTTTACAGACAGTATAGTCACAAGATTTTAGAATTCTTACAACACCAGATCATCCACAGAATGTGGGCCAAGAGAAGCTCCAACAAGGGGCTAGTGGGAGTGTAAATTTGAGCACCTACTTTAAAAACCAATTTGTCATTGGCTTGTGCATTTTTCCGTACCCCGACATTCCTCAATTCCACTGATACATATGTCATCTTGGGCAGAGTATCCCTAGGATAAACCACCAGTCTCAAGGAGTTTGCCTTTCTAACCCAAGGCTGTGATAGAAATACTAGTATTTTCTCTGTCACATGAAAAGAGAAAAGTTGGGAAACACTGACCTAGAGAAACTCTTGCATTTGTGCACCAGGAGACGGGCAGTTTCCAGCAACACTGCTCATAATAGGAAAGAATCGTTCAAAACTCAAACATCCAATGACCAAAGAACAGATCAGTATCGTAGTACTCTTCACAATGGAATAATATACAGCAGTACAAAGGAAATAGACCAATGCACACCAAAGATAATGGTTGGATCTTAGACACAAAATTTTTAGTGAAAAAAAATCAAACTATAGAAGACCATATAATTAATTCATATTTGACAGTTTTGAGTATCTTAAAAATAAGCAAAGCTGGAGGAGGAGAGCAAGATGGTGGAGGTGTAGGAGACCTAAATTTTGTCTGGTCCCAGGAATTCAGCTAGATAGGGATCAAACCATTCTGAACACCTAGGAAAACTCAACAGGAGATCGAAGAAAAGAATAGCAGCAACTCTCTGAACTGAAAAGTGACCACTTTCTGGAAGGTAGGATGTGCGGAGAAGTGAATCCGAGGGGATATTCTAGAAGATAGATGGCAGGGGAGCGGGCCTCCCTCAGCCGCTACTGGCAAGTGATAGAGCAGCGGAGCAAAAAATCGGAACTTTTAGAAGTCCGCTCCACTGAGGGACGTCGCTCCAGTGGCTAAGTGGGGGGTGGAACCCTCGCTGGGACAGTGCGGTCTCAGGACACTTGGGGTCACAGGAAGACCAGGGGTGCTTGAGTGTGGCGGAGCTCCCAGGTATCAGAGCGGGGAAGCCGGCTGCAGAGACGGAGCCGAGGCGTGGGCTCTCAACTCGGGGTTGCCATAAACCATAGTCCATGGCACCGTCGTGCCACTGCTCCTCCAGCAGGGACCCAACAAGCGGCAGATCCAGGGAGACTCCCCTTCTTCCCCCAGAAGGAGCGGTGCTGGAGCGTACCGCAGGGATCTGCTGGGTTTGGAGACTCCACAGGGGTCGGGTGCCAGAGATAGAAACGCTTGGTCACAGGCCGGGTGAGCAAAGAGTGCGGCCAGAGACCGGGGAGATGGGAGTGACTGACTGCTTTTCTCTGGGGGCGCACTGAGGAGTGGGGCCCCAAGTTCTCGGCTCCTCCGGGGCGGAGATTGGGAAGCCGCCATTTTCAGTCTCGTCCTCCAAAGCTCTACCGAAAGCTTGCAGGGGACAAAAGCTCCCAAGAGCAAACCCGAGCAGATTACTTAGCCCAGACCAGCAAGGGCGGAGTAATTCCACCTCCTGCAAAGATATTTGGGAACCACGGCAAGGGGCCCCTCCCCAAGAAGATCAGCAAGAACCGCCAGTCAAGACCAAGTTTACCAATCAATGAGAACAGCAGAACTCCAGTGCTAGGGGAATACTGCACATAGAATTCATGGCTTTTTTACCATGATTCTTTAGTCTTTCAAAGTTAATTTTTTTAATTTTCTTTTTTTTTTTAATTTTTCTTTTTCCGTTTTTCAACCAACATCTTATCAATCCTTTTTTTAAAAATCTTTTTTATTTTTCATTTTTAGAGTCATATTGTATCCCTCCATAGTAGTTAACCTTATTTTTGGTGTATATATATATATATATATGTTATTCTCTCTTTAAAATTTAAAATTTTATGATACAGTTTCTTCTAACAGACCAAAATATACCCTAAATCTCTAGTGTATGGCTTTGTTCTAGTCTCCTGCCTGATCACATTCTCTCCTTTTTTTAATTCCTCTTCTTTCTTTTTTCAAGCAACTTTTTATCAATTCCTTTTATAAAATCTTTTATAATTTTCATCTTTGCAGTCATATTCCATCCCTTCATTGTATTTACCCTTATTTTTGTACATACGTAAGTTTTTCATTCTTTAAAATTTCGGGAGTCACTTTCTTCTAACAGACCAAAATATGCCCAAAATCTAGTGTGTGCCACTGATCTATGCACCAGCCTGATCATATTCGATCATATTCTGTTTTTTTAATCTTTTTCTTTTTTTTTTCTTTTTTCTATAATTCCCTTTCTTTTCCCCATTTCATGTCTCTTTTGATTTGTTTAGTGTATATTTTTCTGGGGTTGTTGTTACCCTGTTAGCATTTTGTTCTCTCATTCATCTATTCTCCTCTGAACAAAATGACAAGACAGAAAAAATCACCTCAAAAAAAAGAACAAGAGGCAGTACTGACGGCCAGGGACCTAATCAATACAGACATTAGTAAGATGTCAGAACTAGAGTTCAGAATGACGATTTTAAAGATACTACCTGGGCTTGAAAAAAGCAAGGAAGATTTAGAGAAACCCTTTCTGGAGAAATAAAAGAACTAAAATCTAACCAAGTCGAAATCAAAAAGCTATTAATGAGGTGCAATCATAAATGGAGGCTCTAAGTGCTAGGATAAATGAGGCAGAAGAGAGAATTAGTGATATAGAAGGCGAAATGATGGACAATAAAGAAGCTGAGAAAAAGAGAGATAAACAACTACTGGATCACGAGGGTAGAATTCTAGAGATAAGTGATACCATAAGACAAAACAATATTAGAATAATTGGGATCCCAGAAGAAGAGAGGAGCAGAAGGTATACTGCAGCAAATTACAGCAGAGAACTTCCGTAATTTGGGGAAGGAAACAGGCATCAAAATCCAGGAGGCACAGAGAACCCCTCTCAAAATCAATAAAAATACGTCAACACCCCAAAATCTAATAGTAAAACTTGTAAGTTTTACTTAAAACACCCCAACATCTAATAGTAAAACTTGTAAGCAGAGACAAAGAGAAAATCCTGAAAGCAGCTTGGGACAAGAGATATGTAACCTACAATGGTAGAAACATTAGATTGACAACAGACCTATCCACAGAGACCTGGCAGGCCAGAAAGGACTGGCAGGATATATTCAGAGCACTAAATGAGAAAAATATGCAGCCAAGAATACTATATCCAGCTAGGCTGTCATTGAAAATAGAAGGAGAGATAAAAAGCTTCCAGGACAAACAAAAACTAAAGGAATTTGCAAACACAAAACCAGCCCTACAAGAAATATTGAAAGGGGTCCTCTAAGCAAAGAGAGAGCCTAAAAGTAACATAGACCAGAAAGGAACACAGACGATATACAGTAACAGTCACCTTACAGGCAATACAATGGCACTAAATTCATATCTTTCAATAACTGCCCTGAATGTAAATGGGCTAAATGCCCCAATCAAAAGACACAGGCTATCAGATTGGATAAAAAAACAAGACCCATCGATATGCTGTCTGCAAGAGACTCATTTTAGACCCAAAGACACCCCAGATTGAAAGTGAAGAGGTGGAAAAATATTTACCATGCTAATGGACACCAAAGGAAAGCTAGGGTGGAAGTCCTTATATCAGACAAATTAGATTTTAAACCAAAGACTGTAATAAGAGATGAGGAAGGACACTATATCCTACTTAAAGGGTCTATCCAACAAGAAGATCTAACAATTGTAAATATCTATGCCCCTAATGTGGGAGCAGCCAATTATACAAGCCAATTAATAACAAAAGCAAACAAACACATCGACAACAATACAATAATAGTGGGGGACTTTAACACCCACCTCACTGAAATGGATGGACAGATCATCTAAGCAAAAGATCAACAAGGAAATAAAGGCTTTAAATGACACAGCGGACCAGATGGACTTCACAG